CAGGTTTTATATAGAGATCCTCTGGGAGATGGCTCTTGTCAATGCCCTGTAGACCTCTTAATTTGGGGAAGAGGGTATCCTTGTGTTTCCATCCCTACAGGTCCTGCCTGGCTACCAGCCAAAAGAGTAAAGCCTTATCATGAGTGGGACAGACACCAAGCTCTGCTACCTGAAGCCAAGAGCCAATCGACTGACAGACCAGATGGCCCAGCTGACCCTGAACAACCAGAAGGAAAATGGACACTCACACCATCACTCACAGGCCTGGGTCTGCCAAAAGAGGAGGATGGGGCCTGCCCCAATGACAGAGGCCGAGGCTCAAGCACCTCCTGCAGAGGGCAACAACCCCTTGGTGCCCCATAATGTTCAATGGTTGAACCCTAAAAACTGGTTCAATGGACTGAATTTACAAGTTTGGGTCCTAGCATTCCATGGATGCCCCGTTGTCTTAATTCTTATTTGTGCTTTATGATATATAGAGAGGTTGTTTCCTGAAGACTACATTCAGAAACAGCAAATAGTAGGTTTCACAGGCTTAACAGCTACAATAGCATTCACAAACTAAAAAGTGGGGAGATGTTGGGAACTGCCCTGCCTGGTTTCAGAGCTGTAACCACCCCTCCCCCCCATGCTAAGGCTGAGTGAGAGACCTTGGGACCATAAGCCACTGAGGAGACAAAGCTTCTCTCTGGCAGGAGCACTGCCTCTGCCCTGCCCATTTTACTTTACCCTGCCTGGCCTCCAATGCTTGGTCGGTTAGCCAATGACGGGTAAGATTCTTCAAGGGAGGATCGACCTAAGACAGACACGATCATGTGGAGGCCCTCAGGGAAGGACCTGGGGGATACAGAAAAAGAGGGTGATGGACCCTCGTCCCCCGGCTTTGACATAGCCCGAGTCCTCATTCTGTCTGCAAGAAGTCTTCTAATTTCTTGGCTGCCTTACTTTCCCTGCTCAACCTAAGCCTGAAACAATGCTGGAGGTGGGTGAGGCCCTGTGCTGGAAAGGGTGGATTTCCCAGGGCAATCAGGCCTAAAAAAAAAAAAGCATAAAATCTATGAAACCTGCTTTGCTAATACCCTCAATTTAAAAAAGAGTCCAAGCCTGAAAGGAGTTTGTTTCCCCAAAGTTTCATGGCCCTTTAGCTATCTGACCCTGACTCAAAATAGGCCCTCAGAGTTCTTTGAATGTTATCTATTTGATCATTACTGCCTGACAATGATTGATGGACTTAATCTGAGAATGTGGGTCTATGGAACCGCCGGTTGCTTACTGATTGTAATAGTGTTCTGTGTACTTTAACACATTTGCAAATTATTTTCCCAGGGTCCTGTGAGAAACCAGCAAGTAGCAAGCTTTGTGGGATCTATAGAGGTCCTAATGAAAAACAAAGGGGGAGATGTAGGAGATCTTTCTGCGTGGCGTGGGCCCAGCTCTCACTCAGAGATGCACAGGACCCACGACTACAGATAGGTTCTCCTGTGGGGAATCAGGCCTGCAATGTGCCTAGGCCACTTTGAGTCTTGTTCTTGCTAAAAAAAAACTCTCTCATCCTGAATTGAGGACATTTACTGCAAAATAACTTCCTAAAATCCATGCTAAACCTTCCAAGGATGAATGTAACTGGTTCAACCACTTTCACCTTTTCATTTGCAAGTATCCCTCTTCTGTGATGTGATTAGCAGCATTGGCTCCTCTGTTTTCTGTAAAAGGTAAGCACCTAAAGCGAACCTGTGCATAGCAAATGAGAACCATCATGTAAGGCACAGAGGGGAGAAATAAAGGCCTGTCATGGCGGAGGCTGTGGCTTTTGCTCCCCTTGAGAGAAAGCCATGCCGTCCCTTTTCCTTCACTAGACTCGGTAGTTCGTGTGAGATGTTTCATTTCATCCATAATGGCACAGATACTGAGGGCCAGTATCTGCATCACCATAGGCTGGATGAGAGGAGTTGGTAGGTGGCAAGAACCAAATAGGAGTTGGTAGGTGGCAAGAACCAAATAGTGATCAAGTTCCACCAACTCAGCCACCAAGCCTGGAGGGTAGGCAGAAGCACTGTGCATTACAAGTGCCCTGAACAACTGTTTTTCCAGAGGTTTTTCTTCACACTTGGGGCAAACACTTTATGAATCCACTCAATAAAAAATTGTGTGGTCACCCAAACTTTACTATTAGCCCTCCACATCATATTCAACTTGTTTTTCATGATATTATTTTTCTTCAAAACTCAGATTTTCAAAATGGTAGAGCAGTAAAGGTTTTGATTTAAAGTCCCCACTTGCATTCCCACACCAATAACATCAGCCTGACCTTCACTGGCTTGTATCCTGGAAACAAGCAGAAAAAATCACTGGCTTGATTTCTCCTCATGTGTAATGCAGGTCCTCTTTGGCATTTTCTTCCAGAAGAGGTCTGTCTCATCACAACTGAACGCTTGTAGGGGAAAGATCCCTCAGCCTCTATGTATTCTTGAAATTCTGTCACAAAATTATCAGCTGGTATTGTGTTAAAAGTGGCAGCCTCCCCATGCCCAATTACACTATGAATGTCACTTATTTTCTTAAATTTATCGAACCACCCCTACTGGCCTTAAATGAATCACTTTCAGCAGCCATTCCAGGGCTATCTTTCAGGAGGGCAGCATGCAGCATCTCGCTTTTTCACATATGACTGCCTCCAAAATGCTATCACTGGCAAACTGCTTTTCGTTTATCCAAATCAACAATTTTTGTACCTCTTCAATTGCCTGTGATCATTGTTTTGTGGACACTTTCATAACCTTTAGCAATATCAGCAATCTTGATAGGCGCTTTATGTTTTAAAATTGTGCTGTCAATTCACCATGCCAGAGTAGGTAGCCAGACTAGACACGTGAACACCTCTATTATACTCGGCAATTACTTCTTTTTAAAACTCTGTTGTTGTTTTCACGCGTTTCCTTTTCACTTCACTGCTATCTCTAACCTTCTTAGGACCCATGGTGACTTACTGTATGTATTTAATAATAATAAGCAACAACAAAAACAAAAAAAGAAACAGGAAAATAATCAGCACAATTTCCTGACATGTTAACAACAGGAGGTTTAGCAGTAAACTGACACACATTCGCGCATTCTCTCCTTAGTTTTTCACCTCAGAGACACCTTACTGATCATACAGGCATGAAAGGGCTGTCAGGTCGAGAACTGAAGTTTTGTTTGACAACTGAGACATATTTTTCCATGAACAATTTACTCAAGAACCTAACTGTTAAGATGGGTGATATTCAAGAACCAAGGTTGGACAGTATTTATACTTCATCCCCTCAAAGGTAAATCTATTCAAATCTCTATAATACAAGGATTTTTTATTTATGTAATACCATTTCCAGGACAGCCCTTTGTATTTATAAGTCCAAATTCCTTCTCTTACAACTGAGTAAACACAGGTCTGGAAAATTTTTTATCAGAACAGGTCCACAATGCCTAGAGTACTAGTCAGTGTGTTCTCCAGCACAGTATTCAAATACCATTCATCGTTTTCCTCTTTATACTGCTGAATGTTCCCCTTCTGCCTACTCCTTTCAAAGAAGGGGTAAGAGAGAAGAGATACAAGAAATCTCAATTAAATTTTGTTGAGCAATTTAGTGTCTCAAATGCAAAAGCATTGAGGCTAAGGAAAGGAAGCAAATTAAACTGAAACTAGTCCCTATAATAAGAATTTTGACCACATTTCAAATGTGCATACCAGCCTTGACTCATTATCTCCTACAGGTAAAAATGGATTCTGTCTTAGTGTTCGTATGAATCATAAATGATGCTTCAGCACCTTAATTTATTTCATAGTAATGGTAAATCATGTACATCCCTGACCACAGTATTTTTACTTCTAACTATTAAGTTATTCTATAAAGTTATAAGATGCAATAAGATAGCATTTAAGTACCTTTTCCACAATTCTTAAACTCTTCCTCAAAAATTATAAAAATACTTCCACTGAAACCAATGTGATACTACAAAATTATGAAAAGGGAATATAGGTCATCTCTATTCCTTCTTTATCCTCCATCCCATATAGCAATAATTATACCTTTATTTCAAATATATATACTTTATAAAAACAACTTTTTTAAAATAGGATACTCTATGAGTTATAACTAGCTTTCCTCACTTATTAAAACATCACAGACATTCCTTAAAAAAATGAATACACAGAACCCATTTTTTAAGAGCTCCACAACATTCCTGCATTGCAACCATTCTCCCTCTTGATGTACATTAAAGGTGTTTCTAGCTTTTTGTCACTGCTGGCAATGCAGAGATAAACATGTTTGTACAGTTGACTATGTCATGTTAAAACAAAGTCACACCCTTACATATATATGTATAATCACTGAATAACAAGGGGGCACTAAAAGAACCCAGTGTATGAGAAGGACTTTCAGTCAAGAAATCCTCTTTGGAGAAACTCAGGAAAACACATTCTTGACAATTGAGATAGTATGTTCAAAATGGATCACTGCCTTTCTAAAAGTCCTTAAAATAAGGAAAGACTGAAGAATTAGGAACACAGCTCAAAGTTCATATTATTACCCTGGAGAACTAAAACAACCAATTATAGGCTCAAAAAAAAGTCCTCTTGTCTTTCAAAGCAAAGCTGACTAGAATATGATTACATAATTTAAAAAGAATTTTAAACAAATAGTATTTAAATTTAAAAAACACACACAAGCCAAATCCATAAGAAGTTTCCCACATAAAACAGATAAAACACTTAAATTTCCAATAATTGAGATAAATTTGTTACTTAGTAGGAAATTAATATGTGTATCAATATTACAACATATTTACTATTTTAATTTTCTTGTTTTATCATAGTGAAATAAGATCTGTTAAAATCTCAACAAAAACATCAAATTGTATAATTACACACAACAAATCACACATTTAAATGTAAAAAATAAAATCAGTTTTATGAAGCTTTCTATACATATTAAATTAAAAAACTGACCAGAATATGATTATACTTCATCTTGAAAATATAATATTTATTGACCAAAAGCCCCTACAATGATTGGTTCTAAGCTCTACAGAATTTTAAAAACAAGAGGGGTACCTTGCAAAGTTCTAATTATAAATAAACAAAATGTACTTTTTAGGTTTTGGCAGACAATATATTTTTTCATTTATCCTTGGAAGCACTGCTGAAACAGAAGCAAGAGTACCAATCACTCACAGAGGACAAAGGAGTGGTTCTGAAAGTAAAAAGAGTTTATGATAACTACACACTACAGAGACAGAGAATGCTGGGACTAAAGCATCAACTATTTTCAGTGTTAGTAGATGGCCAACATTTTTTCATCAGGATGCACAAAATCCAGTCATTTCTTAATTTTCTTCCTTCTCAGCTCTCCATGTTCACTCTATGAATACCCATTGCTGTTATACACAAAACTAAAATACATTTTTCTATCACCCTTTTGGTCTGTTCGCCTTCTTGTCTCAACAGTATTTCCTTTTCCTTCTTCAAAACAGACTCTTCTCAAAGGAATCTTCAATGAGTCTTTCTTGAATAAAAATGGATTGGAGACAAGATGGAATAAAAGAGCTCTTTTCTTTGTGCCCAAGCTGAAGGAAAAAAAAAAAGAAGAGAAAATGATACAAAATTATCTAGTAGCACTTCCTATTTTCACTAAAAGAAAAACAGAAAACTTTACCAGATATACTCTCACTTGGACAATTTTTTGGCCATGCCCTCTTGAGTTGTTATAGGTATACTTCCCAAGTTGTTATAGGTATATTTCCTTCAAGTATTCAAACACAACTTCCCCCCACTCACTCATGCATACTTCTTATATTATCATTTAAAAAGCACAATAGAATTATAAATTTTCAGGAACACAACTGAGGATACCATTTCTAAAACTTCAGTAACTATCTATGTAGAAAATCTCTACATAATTCCCTGACATATGGTTTGAAGAGAAAAATCATTGTACAATATTTTTAAGCTGCACTGAGACTAGAGATATCTTGGAAGCCATTCACTGAGCTTTTGGCATGTCTCTGCTATTCTAGAGACAAAAACAAACAAGAATTTAAGACTTAAAGAGCTCCAGTTAATTAACAATTGAACCGCTAGCAGTGTTAAAACATTTTCATGCCTGAGAAGTTAGTGTCAAATGGTTAAATAACCAATTAACACAAACAACGAAGAGATCATTATCAACTTAATTACAAATAAGATGTTTAAACATATATTCAAAATATTTAAAATTCAATATAGTTCACAGATCGACACATTTTCCACTGGTTTCTAGAAGTTGCTGCTAATGCTATTAGCTACGACTATTATGTCTTCATGAAATGTACCAAAATGTTCCTTATGAATCTCATTACCATAGAAATGAGTCTGCGATTCAAGAACTCTGATACAACTTCGTTTTTATGAAGCAAAACTTGTGCAAGAGCCAAGAAAGAAATACAAAAAGATGCTAGCATTCTTTCCTAATTCTTTTAACACACTTATAAAAGAAGATGACTCCACCTCAACCTTCCCATCTCCCATCCCCACTAACCACTCCCCATTCCTTCCAGAAAAACATTTTATCTAACCAAAACACAGCAACCAAGTAAAATATGTAAGAAGAGGAATACCTGTAAGATTTTTCTTCCCATAAATTGTCCCAGGCATGGATCCTCGGGCACTCACTCCACGTCATCCTCCGCCACTTCTTCAACCATGAGAGATGCATCCTGAATGATGGTGGAGGGTTCAGAAGTTTATAGTAGATGTGGCATATTGAGATCAAGGAACATATCCATCTCCTCAAAAGGGATGGCGCCTTTTAGATGGTCCAGAACACCACCTCACACCTCTGTGATTATACTACATGTTAGTATTCTGATTCTGAGTAATTTCTACTCTCAGCCCCAAAAAATCCCATCAGAAAATACTTCAAAATCTTGAATATGACACTCTCTTTATTTTTCCCTTTGCTATTGATTATTTTAATTTATTTACATCTTGGTTCATTCTAAAAGATGTTTGGTTGTTATTAACCTTTTATTAATAAAGCAATACCCAGAAGATATCCTTCCTTTAAAGTATTCCCCACATATGTATCATCTCTCGTAAAATCCATATGCAAATGAAGAAATTAGATAGACTCCTGCTCTGATAGTCTAAGTAAAAACGAAGGTTAAGATAAGTGTGTGAACACACTTCCGTGAGGGCGGAGGAATAGTGAGTGAAGGAGATAACTAAGGAGTGAAAGAAAAGTATGTTACAAAGAAAACCAGACTTGACACTATGTGTAAATTAAGTGGCTTAAGTAACCACTGCTACCATCACGTTACTCTCTTCCCCTCCACTCCAACATAACTTTTAGTGCTTCATTTTTTAAATAAAAATATGTTCCTAGTGAAACATTGTTTTAAGAAAACCATATTAATATTTCATGCCCTTTTATCTCTCTTGTGCATATTTGAACATGCTTATATTTCTGAGCACAAATACACTGTTCTTACAACTTTTTAAAATATATCTTGACCTTTTTACATAATACATATTGATCTCACTCATCTTTTCAAATATTCTTATAACACTCCCTTGCATCCAGGCATTGTGTTCTACTATTTTTTTTTTTATCATTCTCTCCCCTCCTATCTCCTCTGAAAATGAAAATACTTGGTTCCATGCCCCCATGTGATGTAACATTTGCTCATATGTTCTATCTTCATTTTTTTATCTTTAGGTTATGGGATGTTTGCCCAAGTTTCCTTCTAAATCATTCATTTAGTTTTCAGCCCTTGCTTTTAATTTTTTTATTTTATCAATCAGATTTTTGTTTCTGACAGCTCTGTAGATTGCTTCTTTCAAAAGAGCCTTACTCATTTTTTTCAGCTGTTTTATCCACTTAAATGTCTGAAGATACAAATTACATTTATGAGAAAGTGTTGGTTTCCTCACCATTACTATCTACTTATCAAATTGTTTATTCTAAAATATGGCATCTTTTGTAGTTTAAAATTGAATTTAAAATGAGTGAATTTGAGCATATGCTTACATTTTCTAAGCCATTTATATTTCTTTTCTAAGTCAATAAATACTTAATGATGGCCTATGAAAAATACATTTATGTCCCATCTACTTTTTGCATCATTCCTATGCTCCAGGGGTGTTTTTCTCTTAGTTCTTACTCTATCAGTATTGCTGGTTTTCTGATGATCCTTGGTATTCCAAATTTATGAATGGTGTTCTAGAGATATCTAAATGACCTAGTTTTCTCCAGTAGATCTATCACTCTGTACCTCTCTGAAGCCATTTTCCTGAATGAGAGCTGATTTCAGGATGAATGTGGGTAGATGGAGTACATTAAGAGGCATGCTTTATTTTACAACATGTGGTCATAAACAGTTGTAGGCTGGACCCCCGCCCCACCCCCCCACCCCCCGCCAGATTCCCAACATCAGGAAGACTCTACTTTTGGAGTGGAGTATTTTAATGCATGCATGGGACTACGTTCTCTTTCCCTCTCCTTCACCTCTACCTGTGTCTTGGTAGAGTTCTCCGGCTCTGTTCTGATCCTCTCTCTAACCCCATCACACATTACCAGAAGCTTTCTCCAAAATCATTATCTGCAGAACAAAAGCCACAACTCTATCCTAGAGACAAATACTATACCCAGAACACAACCATTCTGTACAAATGAGGAAGGGGGAAGCCCCACAGACACAGTTTTTCAATCGTTCTGATGATTACCCCATAGACCACTCCAAATCTTTGAAAATGTCAACACCACAAATGTAGTCCCTTGAAGTTCAGTGAGGAAAAACTTCACTTTCAGCTGTGGTTTTCTCGTTTCTGTGCTCCTCTCATTCCATCTCCTTTGTACCTTCATAGAAACCCCTCAAATCTGCTACACCAATGGTACCCTTTCTTGTTGCCCAAAGCAACAAAATTTTTTTAAAAAGTTACAGGCAGGCCTAATTAAAAAATACATTTTTTAAGAAAAATTTCAGCCTGATTTCTTTTTAAGAACACATTTAATCATTTCAAACACAAATGGAGAAAGCTGGGAGAGCTCATCTTTTGCCATCTTTTAACAAAAGTCTCAAAATTTTTTAACATATATTTCCATCTATAAATTTTCAAAAATATCAAGAAGTAAAAAGTATCTACTCCTATAATTCTGTAAGTAGAAATCTTTGCATAGCATGCTATTCATAGTAGTGTTTTACTTCCCCCATTTCACCATATTTTTACTGGCTAGTCTATAGGTTCTATTATTAAGTCATCTAGAATTCATTTCCTAGTTGGCATTTCTTTGTCTCTTTCATTTTATTAGGAACATTTTCTCTAAAGTAATATTATACTTTGAAGTACATTATTAACAATATTTTAGATCTAACTGTAAGTTTCACTGATATATTAGGTTTTGGTTGTTTGCTTTTGTCTGTCAACACATACACATGCATCTTGTTTAGTTGTGTTTCATTTTATTGTACTTCAAAAATGTGCTTTTTTACATATTGAAGGCATGACCCTTCACAAGCAAAATAACTGCAACTTGATTTATTCAGATACTCACTTTATTCAGTGGTCTGAAGTCAAACCCATGATATTTGTAAGGTTTGCCTAAACCTTCCCTTTTCTGAGTCCAGAATTCTTTATTCTGATTCATTTCATTTTGCTTAAGTAGTACTTCCAAATAACAGATTCATTTATTTAAGTCTATAAGTGTAATAGTTCAGTTCTTTGGAACAAATACATACTTTGCCTTGGTACCTGAAAAATAGTTTTTGCTTCATACAAAACTTTAGGATCATAACACTTTTATCTCAGAATCCTATAAGCAATTCTCACTCTTTCTTAGTATCTCATGCTGCATAAGAAACATCAGATGCCAATCTGATTCTTTTTTCCATCAGGGTAAGCCTATTTACTTTATCTGGAAATGATTTTCTTTTCACCTTTGGAATTCAGAATTTTTACAGTATTTGATTTTAACAGAAACTTCATTTTAGTATACGTTATTTGATAGCATTCTTCATCCCAAGAAAAGCTTATTCTACCATTTTATTATCTACTGCTTCCCAATGTGGACCTATTTTTCACTTCTGGAATTCCTATTTCACAGATACTGATCTGGATCTACTTGGTAGGTCTCCAACTTTCTCTCATAATGTTCAATTCTTTTTGCTCTTTTGTCTGAGAGACATCTCAGTTTCACTGTCAATATTGTAGTCTTTCTTTTCAAAATAGTTACTGTAAAATATTTTTGACATACAAAGGAAGGTAAAATATTTAATACGTATCTACCACCCTACTTTAAAATATACATGTATCTAAACAACAGAAATACTTTTATTTCCCTCCCAGAGATAGCCTAAGTTTGGTGTCTATCATTTCCATGGATTTCTTTATGTATTTTTGCATCTGTGTATATCTAAATAACTATATATAGTATGGCTTTGCATGTTAAGCTTCATTTAAATATCATATTTTATATATTGTTTTGCACCTTCCTTTCTATATAAGGATTATATTTTTAAGTGTATCCATTGAATATGGGTATTGTAATTCACTGATTTATTGTGATGTATAATTAAAAATCCTTATATGGATATACTAGTTTTTTTATCTAGTCTCCATTTATTAATGCTTAACATTGCTTCCAATTTTTCACTGTTACAAATGATGCTGTTATGAAATCCTTATCCTTGTCTCTTTTGCATTTATATGTAAGTTTCTTTAAGGCAGGGTTTTTGAAAATACAGTTCATAACCCATCAATAAAAAAAACCATTAGTGAGTCAAGGTCACAAACAGCTTTTTAAAAAGAGAGACAGTGAGTGGTGAGGAGTGAAGGGAGAAAGGAAGAAAATGAACAAAGTGGTAAGGCACAAAGATAGATAAAAGCGTACAGCATGTACTAAGAGTAAATTTTGTTTCCTGAAAATTTGATTTCATAGTCAAAACAGGATCAACAAACTAACGTATATATAGGTTTCCACACAAATATTTATACATATAAATATACAAAATATAAATATTAATATTTATATTTTAATATAAATATTTATATTTTAATATTACATATTTTATATATAAATATTTCCACACAAATATTTATATATATAAAATAGATTCCCTAGGTCACAGGGGAAATACACATTGAAACTTAGTAGGTATTGACAAATTACTATTAAAAAATTGGTTTCTCCTGGCTGGCGTAGCTCAGTGGATTGAGCATGGGCTGGGAACCAAAGTGTCCCAGGTTCGATTCCCAGCTAGGGTACATTCCTGGGTTGCAGGCCATAACCCCCAGCAACCGCACATTGATGTTTCTCTCTCTCTCTGTCTCTCCCCACCTTCCCTCCCTAAAAATAAATAAATAAAATCTTAAAAAAAAAATTGGTTTCTAATTTTTTTGGTTAAGAATTCTCATTGTTAAACATGCTCACTAACACAGTATAGACAGACTTTAAATTTTTATCAACCTTATGTTTGCTGGAACCCTTGTTTTTGAGTGATTTTGCTAGTTATCATTTTTGTAGTTTTGAGGTCTGCTACCAGTCTAATTTTCATATTTTAGAAAATAATCTATTTCTCGCTACTTTAAGTTCCCTTTGTCTTTAATATTATCCAGTTATTTTTCTACCTCTAAAATTACTGTGTTATCAATCTAATGATTCACATTTTTTAATTCTGGAAAATCCTCAGATGTTCCTTCTTTGGGAACAGACTGTCATCAGTTTCTTCATTCTCCTCTGGAACTCCAATTTCACCTAAGTTAGACATATTTATTCTTCTGCTGCTAAATATCTCTTTCATATTTCTATATCTGTTTAAGATCTTCAAGTTCATTAAATCTCTCTTCTGCTGAGCTTATAAGCCATTCAATGTTTTTCAATTTCAATGATTATATTTTTAATTTTTGAAAATTCTATTCTTTTTTAGATCTTCCTGGTATTTCCTGACAGCATTTTGTTCCTTGCTCACATCTTTAATCCCCCATTTTATTTCTTTAAACATTTTATACATGTATATTATTCCATACTCTTATCTAATAATTTTAATATGTGATAGTCACAGAAATTTAATTTTGCTGTTTGTTTTATCTGCTTACTCTTTGCTCATGATTGCCAATTTTCTTCAAAGAATTTCATTCAGGCTTCAATGGGCAAAATAAAAGTCTTACCCTGAAGGTGCATTCCTCTAAAGAGTATTAACTTTTGCTTCTGTTACGTGCTATGTAGCAATACAGACATTTGACTATTTTCAAATAAGTTCCTCTGCCTACAATTAAGTAAAAATTAAAATCTCATACGTACATGAAGACAGACACGGTCACAAATTTTTGGAGGAGACTCTTCATCATCAACTCCCCATGCCAAAGAAACTCCTATGTTCTCTGGTAGAAGTTCAATTTAATTTTCAAAGCTCTCTTTCATTGCATCATGATCTTGAGGAGCCTTGGCCTTATATAGAGGCCTCAATTTCAATTGCTCATCTAGTGGAAGCACAAAGATCTACCCCCTCAAACTCATATGAACTTTAAATACAAGCCTCTACACATCAGTAAATGTTCTAAGAACAGCTTTGGAGGCAACTTAGTAATCTGGATTCTAGCATCTTCTATTATTTTGGGACTCTAGAGATTTTTAGTTGGCAATTATATTTTTAATTTTCTACAACTTTTTTCACTGCTTCTTCTCAATACAATGTTTCCTCAATTCTAACCAGAAATTTTCAGTTTACTTTTTTTTTTCATTAACTATGATTTCTGGGTTATCTGCTTTGCTTGCTTTAGCATGGGCCTTCCTTTTAGCACTGCTAATTTTCCTCAAATATCCAGTATTTCATCAAATGTTTACTATTTCATATCCAAAAGCCTCAGTGTATAGTTTTTTCCCTCATCAACATTTTAGTAGTACTCTTGCATCCTGTCAGGAATCGCCCCCAAAAAATACTCTCCAACTCTTTAATTCCTACTTCTGGTTCATCTACAAAAGCATAAGTAAAGAAATCTGATTATAGAAGCTAGAGTATTTTTTTCTTTTATTATGCAGAATTTACTTTATGTTAGCATATTCTCTATTATAAAAGTAATTAGCCAAGTTATAAAAAATTTGCAATCTACACAGTTTTATAGATGATGTAAATTAAATATGCTTTAATGAACCAACATATAGTGATAAATCAAGAAAGTTAGGCAAAGGACATGAAAACCTAAGAATTATGCCAATTCTAACAGTTGCAATTTTTCTTATTCAGTCAGATCTAGACGGCATAAAAACCGAAAGATCAAAGTATATTTTTCTGATTTAATTTTTGAATCACAATAAATGCTTTATATTCCTCTCTGCTGTTGGATAGGAAATCCCACACAGAAAATATACTCCAGCGAAGCATGAAAATTAGTATTTAATGTGCTGTCCCCAAAACTACCCTATTAAAAGCTTCTATGACATTCACAATTTCCATCTGGACACTCTAATACATTCATGCTGCTCTAAAAGTCAAATGATAACTGTTTTAATGGACACACAATAATAAAAAAGTAAGTGGCACACTCAAGTCCTATTCTCAGTATTTAGAATGAAATTAAAGGCAATTATATCTATATTGTTTACAACCAAATCAATTAGGTATTTAAAAAATAACAACACTGGCTATACAGGTTTCCATATTGATATTCTTTTCATCTTTCCCATGGTATTTGTTTCTTTATTCATACCATATGCAGTCCTGAATGCATATAATAAACTGAAGAAGCTAAAGAAACAAGCTATTTAAAGGTATACCATGTTCAACCTTCTGTAAATTAAATAATCCCCTAATTATCTTTAATACAATCTTTCCAGCAGCCCAACAAAGCTTACTGATTAACATTTGGGTACTATATTTATACTACAGCAACTGACTGACCAATAATGAGGTCTCTTTCTCAACTTTAATGACCAGCATTTTATGTTAGTTATTCACTTATTTTATAACTTTCCAAGACACCAACTGACTTCAAATACAATCAAGCACTCCTGAAACTTTTCCACAGAATGAACTGATTTACCTTCAAAATAGGTTAGAAACCATTATTATAAAATTCTTTGCCTGTTATCTTCAGAATCATTCAGTTTTAACATAAAAAAAACGTCTTAAATGCTGAGCAATAAAATTACTTAATATTCCATGCCAACCAATCTTTTAATAGAAATGGTGCTTTAAAAGAGTAATACTTTTATTGTGTAGCTTCACATACTCCCTGGTACAGACCCATAGATACCTTAGTGTTCTAAGTCTGAGAAGCAAATTCTCAGTAAAGAATAGACTCTCAATAGAGAGTCAGTTAAAAGTTGCAAAATGTAGCCTTATGTTCAATATGTGATCCACCCTACTAAAAAATATAGTGACTGGTGCAAAAAATAAATAATTAATTAAAGAATCAGCTTTTAAAAACTTTCAATAGATAGCAAGTACAAATTTGCAACACTAATGGAATTATAAAGAAATGTTAATGACTGTTTGAAATGGTGTAAGGCAGTGTTCATTACACATCTACTTGACAGGATAAAGCCTTCTTCCCAACAATATTCAGTGATTATTTTCAATTTTATTATCTATAACTTTATCTTTTTAAATAGTTGTTTCTTTAATTAAAAACAAAGATCATAGTATTATGAATAATAATCTATAAAAATTTTATAATGTGTCATATAAAATACATCTTTCCAAAAATCAAATATAATTAATAGTAAGCACATAAACATATCAGCAATGCTTTTGGAAAACAAAAAGCAGCATTAACAGAGCATAAGAGGATGTAAAGCCAGAGGCCAGAGTTCAAATTTAGACTTTGCCACTCAACAACAGTGTGACCTGGGGCAAGCTAACACTGTACCTCAGTGACCTCATTTGTAAAATGAGACAATGACAGTACCTACTCCTACTAACAGTACCTACTTCATGGGGTTGTTGTGATAATTACCTAAGTTAACATTTGTAAACTACTTATCTGGCACATGTTAAGTAATTTGTAAGTATCTGTTTTTTTAAAAAAGTAGAATTTTTCCTAATTCCAAGGGAATATTTGTTTCCCTCATCATTAACTTCAAATAATTCTTAATCTACCATCACTAACTTTCACACCTAATCTCAACAAACACAAATAAACACAGATATTCACACAGATAAGCAACATCACTGACTTAAATTCAGAAGTGAAATATCCATTCCTTTGAGCTAAGTAAAGTTCAATTAAGCTATCGATCAAAACTATATACCTCTTACTAGAATCACCAAATAAATTAAATACTTACATGCCCATCGTGATAAAATACATTTGGTATCAGTTATATAATTCAATGAAAGGAGCCTTTTTTCTTTTGTGGTCAAGATTCACATGATTTATTTTACTGAACTTAGAATCAAGTTCTTCTAAGCAGTGTTAGTGGTTAACAAGATTGAAACATCAGAGAAAAATCTAAATCACAAATAAGAAAGCAAGCGGGCACAAGTCTGTGGGCCACTGATGAACTTTCATTTTTAAAGAGACTTAAAAAATCATTGAACAGGGCTTGGTGAAATGTTTTTGTAACTCTTACAACTAATGTTTGTTTTTTTTAATTTACACTCAAAGAATAGAAATGCAATAAAAAGGAAATGAACAAGATAAAAGCAAGTAGAACACTGATTCTATTTACCAATAAAAATATTTGTTAAAATATAATTTTACAGTGGGACTTTCATAGAAATATTGTAATAGATTAAACCCCAATCATCACTCCATTTTGGCCATATCAATGAGTCCAAAATTAGTAAATTCTACAAACTTGTCATGTTTCTGTTGGTCATGATTCATATTTTGAGTATATGACATAACAACACAAAAAAGGCTCTAATACATAAAAAGCTACCTTAGGATATAACCAGTTACTCGTGTGCAATACTTTTTATTTTAACTGTTGTTCAAGTACAGTTTTTTGCCTTTTCCCCCATCCCACCCCGCCCCCCAGGCCTCCCCCACCTCCCTGTTTTCATCCCCCCTTGTTATTGTCCATGTGTCTTTTATACTGTTTCCTGCAAACCCTTTACCCTTTTCCCCTGAAATTCCTTCCCCTCTCCCCTCTGGTCACTGTCAGCCTGTTCTCTATTTTAGTGTCTTTGGTTATATTTTGCTAGTTTGTTTGTTTTGTTGATTAGGTTCCTGTGAAAGGTGAGATCATATGATATTTGTCTTTCCCCACCTGGCTTATTTCGCTTAGCATAATGTTTTCCAGTTCCATCCATGCTGTCACAAAGGGTGGAAGCTCCTTCTTTCTTTCTGCAATACTCTTTAAAATAAAGGTTAGACTTTCATCATTAAAAGAATATATCAGGTTATCATGTGAAATGCTTAACCTTATCAAGCTCTATATACCTAGACCATGGTAAGGATCTAAAGGAGGAACAAAGATCAATTCAGTTTTTAGAAGTCTCTTTGAAAAAACACATTAAAGTTAATAAAGTTAACAACATGAACCACTGTATTAGTAAATTATAGCTAATGCAATAATTATTCTAAGTTTTTAATGTTAAGTAATCACCACATACGCTCTAAGTGTATACCAAGAGCCCGTCAAGATTACTCTAAAATGAAGCCAAAGTCTAAAGTGAACGCTAAATTTACAGTACTAATGCATGGAAGATGACAGTGACTCTCTCCCTCAAAAATTTACTTTCTATGAGATACAATGAAAAATCTCTACTCAGAAAAAACTTTTTGTACTTATGAGGAACGACCAACTAAATTATAATCTATACTTTGAATATGAATTAGATACTGAATATAATTCAAAAACAGAAAAATGTTAAGCAAAATATTTTGAAAATTGTACAGATTCCAGACATTGCCAAAAACTGAAGATTAATAAAGTATTAGTCTCACTAAATCACAGCTGACAGGAAAACTAAAGTCTTCTAAACATCATAAACATGACTTCTGCATTACTGAATTCCTAACTGCTGTCTGAATGATTTTAAAAATAGGCATGTTGATCATTTTTTGTTTACCTGCACTACTTGACCCCTACATTTTCTGAATAATGTGTTTAAGTGCTGACAAGGGGAAAAAACAAAATGTTTGAATAAGCTTTCTTTATATTATACCAATAAAAAATACAAATTAATTTTAGCCAGTCATATATTGATTGAAACTTGAACTGCTTCCACATCTTGGCGATTATAAATAATGCTGCAGTGAACATAGCAGTGCTAATGTACTTTTGAATCCATGTTTCAGGTTTCTTCTGATAAATTCCCAGACAGGAAATCACTAGGTCATATAAGGCAGGTCCATTTTTAATTTTTTAAGGTAATGCCATACTACTTTCCATAGTGGATACACCAATCTTCATTCTTACCAACAATGAAAAAGGGTCCCCTTACTCCACATCCTAGCCAGCATTTGTTTGTTGAATTACTGATGATAGCCACTCTGACTGGTGTAAGGTGGTATCTCATTGTGGTTTTAATTTGCAATTCTCTGATAATTAGTGATGTTCAGGACCTTTTCATGTGCCTATTTAACATCGTACGTCTTCTTTAGAGAAATGTCTATTCAGATCCTTTGCCCATTTTTTAATTGGACTGTTTGGGGGGTTTTGGTGGTGATTTATAAGTTCTTTACAAATTTCAGTTTCAAATGTATTGATATATTCAGATGTATCAGCAAATATTTTCTCCCATTCAGTGGGTTGTTTTACAAAATTTTATTTTGTAGATGGTTTCCTTTGCTGTGAAAAATTTGTTTAGTTTGATATAGTCCATTTTGGGGTTTGTTTGTTTGTTTGTTTGTTTCCCTTCCCTTAGGTGATATATCAAACAAAATATTGCTACAAGCAATGTCCAAGATTTTGCTGTTTTCTTCTAGCATTTTCATGGTTTGGGGTATAACATTTAAGTTTTTAATCCATTTTGAATTTATTCTTGTGTGTAGTGTAAGAAGGTGGTCTAGTTTCATTTTCCTGCACTTACCTGTTTAATTTTACCACCACTTATGAAATAAACTATCTATAGACCATTGTATGTGCTTGCCACCTATGTCAAATATTAATTGACTATAAAGGTGTGAATTTATTTGTGGGCCCTCTATTCTGTTCCCCTGACCTGTGTGTCTGTTTTTATGTTAGTAACATGCTGCTTTGATTACTATGGCCTTATAGTAAAGTTTGCTATCAGGCAGCATTTTATCACCAACTTTGTTCTTTCTCAGGATCACTGTTGCTATGCAGGGTCTTTCATAATTCCACATGAATTTTTTAAACATTTGTCCTAGTTCTATGAACTATGTCATTGGAACCTTGAGAGGAATTGCACTGAATCTATGGATTGCTTTGTGTGGCATGCACATTTTAATGATGTTAATTCTTCCTATTCATGAACACGGTATATGCTTCTACTTACTTGTATCTTCTTCAATTTCTTTCTTCAGTGTCTTATAATTTTTGAGTACAGGTCTTTTTATACATCATTGGTAAGATTTATTCCTGGGAATTTTATTATTTTTGAAATAACCATGAATGGGACTGTTTTCTTATTTCCTTTATTGATAGTTCATTAATGGCATATAAAAATGCAACTGATTTCTGGACATTAATTTTGTACCCTGCTACTTGGCTGAATTCATTTATCAGTTCTGGTAGTTTCTAGTGGAATGTTCAGGGTTCTCTACATACAATATCATGTCATCTGCAAATACAATTTTACTTCTTCCTTTCCAATTTGGATGCCTTTTATTTCTTCTTCTTGTCTGATTGCAATGGCTAGGACTTCCAGTACTCTGTTTTACATGACAGATGAAAGCAGGCAACCTTGTCTTGTTCCCAATAAGGAGAATACTTGCAGTTTTTGCCTGTTGAATATGATGCTGGTAGTGGGTTGGTCATATATGGCCTTTATTATGTTTAGCAATGTTTACCCTATTCCTACTTTGCTGAAAGTTCTTATCATTAATGGGTGCTGGATTTTATCAAATGATTCTTATGCATCTATTGACATTACCATGTGGTTTTTATCCTTCATTTTGTGGTGTATCACATTTATTGATACGCAAATATTTTCTCATTATTCCATCTCTGGAATAAATCCCACTTGATCATGGTGTATGACCATTCTGATGTATTGATGTATTTGGTTTGCTAATATTTTCTAGAGGATTTTCTTGAACAACTATACATCAACAAACTGGATAATCTACATGAAATGGACAAGTACCTGGAAACACAGTAGAAATATCTACCAAAACTGACTCAGAGAAATAGAGAATCTGAATATATCTATAACTAGTAAGGAGATTGAATCAGCTATTAAAAACCCTCCAACTAAAAACACCCAAACTGGAAGGCATCATTGGTGAATTCCACCAAACAGTGAGAGAATAAACACTAATTCTTCTCAAACTCTTCCAAAAAATTTGAGAAAGGAACAATCCCTAATGCATTTTATATAATGAACATAATCCAATACCAAAGCCAGAAAAAGATACTACAGGCATACCTCAAAGATACTGTGGTTCAGTTCCAGACCACCACAATAAAGTATCATACTAGAGCAATTCATAATCTACTTGCTGGTGGAGGGTCTTGCCTTCAATTTGTAAAATGCCATATCTGTCAATCAAAATAAAGTGAAGCACGATAAAAAGATATGCTAATACAAGAGAACTACAGACTGACATTCCCTGTGAATAACTATGCAAAAACCCTCAACAGTACAAACTGAATTCAGCAGCAGCTTAAAAGGAATACACGCCTTGTATTAAAAAGAAAAAACTAAAATTATCTATTCACAGATAACAAGATCATGTATGTAGAAACCCAAAAGATTATTAGCTTCAATTCAGCAAAGTTGCAGAATACAAAATCAACACACAAAGATCAAATGTATTTCTATATACTAGCAATGAACAATAAGGGAACTTTTTAAAAATTCTATTTATAATAACATTAAAGAGAACCAAATACTCAGTAATAAATTTAACCAACAAGTTAAAAGACTTGTATACTGAAAACTACAAAACACTGCTGAAAGAAATTATTTTAATATTATTTTCTTTTTAAAAAAGAAAATGACAAGCATTTGAGAGAATGTGGAAGAACCCCTCTGCCTTGCAGATGGGAATTAAATAATGATATAGCTGCTGCAGAAAACAGTTCTGTGATTCCTGAAAAAGTTAAACAAACATAGAATTACCATATGATCAAGCAATTCCACTCCTAGTTTTATATCCAAAAGAACTGAAAACAGAGACTCAGAAACTCGTACATCAATATTCATAGAAGCATTACTCACAAGAGTCAAAAGGTGAAAACAACCCCAACATCTTTACAGATGAGTAAATGAATAAAATGTGATCTAGGCATACAGTGAAATATTGTTCAACCTTAAAAAGGAATGAAATCTGATACATGCTATAATATGGATGAACACAGAAGCAGCACACTAAGTGAAATAAGCCAGAAATAAAGGACAAATATTGTACAATTCTACTTATATTAAGTCTACGACAGGTAAAATTATGGAGACAGAAAAAAGAAGAGAGATTACCAGAAACTGGGTGAGAGGAAAGAATGGGTAGTTATTATTTAATGGCTATACAGTTTCTGTTTAGGAAAATGAAAAAGTTTTGGAAATGGGTAGTGGTAATAGTTGCAAAACATTTTAAATGTACTTAAAGCCACTGAATTGTACACTTTAAAATGGCTAAAAGATTTTAACCACACTTATGGACTATGTCAAGTTACCAGAAATTTGAAGTAGTTACTTGGATAAGAAAAGCATTATGTATTGTAAATTGTCAGATAAACATTTTTACCTCTATCCAGCCACATACCACCTGACCAAGAGGACTATAGAGCATGTATGTTTGTTATTTTTGAAAGACACAAATTGTCTTAAAAAAAATCTTTCCTGACCAGTTATAATTCCATTTAGTATGCTTACCAAGACTACTAAATGAATACATTCACACGGACCTCCACTAGGCCCTATAAAATAAAATTTCAAAGCAGTTTCTACCTTCTAAAGCAAATAGTATAAATGAAAACTGTACATGTGTTGCACTTATAAACACAGAGAAAAAAATCTACTTTATATTTACATTGGCTAAGAGCATAGATAATAGTAGTCGTGAATACAGAGTCACAAATTCATGCAAGAGGAGAGTGCATTCTAGAATAAGAGAGCTTTGGCTTGTCTAGGCTCACTGATGTCCTTTCTCCATTAATTATGACAACCTCAAGAAGGAGAAATAAAC